TTGTACTAAGCCCTCAGCTTTCGACAAAGCAAAGACCAAGTTTTACGGAAACGTACCTATGGTATACACATAAATATGTATTTACTCATCATTCATAGTTAACAAAGCATCGGAAAAACCACGCGTCGTTTGATTATGGTATACATGTCATAAGTCTGACAGGTGGCCGTTTGTGAACAACAATAAAATGATCTACTTACGTCCATAGATGACGGTAAATTGATACCCGCCATAAATGGGGCGGACGTGAATATATTGAGGAGTACAATACCTCCACTACAGGAGGAAGATTGCCATTCTGTGTGTGTATAAAAATATGAGGACCAGATTCATCACTAAATATTCCCGTGTACTATTCATAGCAAATAAAAAATTGGTCCTTGTAGTTGCGCATGTAAGTTTTGCTAAATTTAAACTATAATTTTAATATAATCAGGATGAAAAAGATCAACAATAAAACAAAGGTGTTTGAAAGCAGGATATCTAGCGGTAATTACAGACAACAATACAGGTGAATGGCTGAGAAAAGTAAGGCTAAAATACAAGATTGTAAGTTAATTGCACTTTTTTCGTGAAAGTAAAAAACTTGTAGACTGAAACAAAGAGTTGGTTAATTTACAAAAATACCTATTTAGGTGGTCATGGTCTGGGAGATACGAAGTAGGTGGAAAAAACTGTTGAAAAAAGTTTCATTGAACTAAGAACCTATATCTGACTGGATTATATTAATTGGTGCAAGACACCGATACATAATTTTTAAATGCAGGCTTTCATGAGCCGTATTCAAGAACCTTCAAAGAAAATTAAGGAAAGGCAATCAGATTACCTATCATCGGTATCGGAATGGGAGCACATTGACAAGAAAATTAAATAATCGATATCGATTGGGACCGACCTCACAAGCACCAATTAGGTGCGAGTCTACGAAATTGGAACACAGTAGATTAAAAAAGTATCTAAGACAAGGTGTGTTTTAAACTTTATCTATATCGTTATACATACACTGATGAACATAAAATACACGTTATTTTTCTTTCTTCTTTCGTAATTTAATATTACGTGGGATATTCATGACATTACAATACATATCATATCAAATCAATCAAACATAGGTTATAAGTTCAGGATATGTGATTAATAACATAATTATCTTTACACATGAGAGATTTTTGTATAGTGTAGGGGAATGCCACAAGGGTGAGTCCTAGGCCCTATCATAATAAAATGTCAGTTCAGTCTTGAAGGTATTTTACAAAGTAAAAAGAATCAGAGGAAGGTAGGTACTTTTTAGACTAGTTATAAATGCTGAATTTTATTGAGAAAACAGCGATGACGAGACGACAGATGAACATAATGTAACAACAGTTTAAAATGTACATGTTCTATGAAAACGTGATGAACACGATTATTTATTTACTTTAACTAGAAGTGACCGGAAATAGTAAAACAAATTGTATATTTTATAGTACTATCAATATTGAATTTAATTAAAGGTACCGTGTGTCAGATCCTTATCGCCCACGTAACTACGTCAGGAGATGCAAATGCGCTTGTTCTGCATTCATAATGATGCAGGTTATTATTTAATACTCTACGATAATATTGCTAAGGGACTGTTTTAGCTTCGCATTAAATTTAAACTATTTACATCTATTACCGAGTTTGAGCTCGAGTATTGGGTTTTTGACTTCAACATTTGTTCCGTATACAGTATTATCTTACGGTACTAAAATAACTAACACTCACATAGATTGCGCTAATCAGCAAGGTTGGAGGAGAACCAAACAGTTTTTATGGTTTCTAAGTGTCATCTCTTGTAATTCTTTTTAATTACCCATACGAAGGTCATTCATTAGATATAGCTTCAGCCAACGACAACCAGGCCCATAACGTCGCACCTACTTATAATTCAGCACACCCTAATGGTGCCTAAGCAGATTGCGTAACAAATGGGCACGTTACGAAATCATTATACACTCAGCATACAATCCATTAACCGAAGGAGTAGAATCATGTAATGAACAATAATATAGTTATGGAAATAATTGGGGACAAACTAACATAGAATACATTACTAGGCTCGCATGTTTTCAAAGATAACATTTATCTTGCGAATACTGAAATTCTCTGTTTCCATTTCATGAATTGTAAAGACGATAATTGAACTAACAAAATTATAAATGAGAAAGTATACCTGTTCTAGTTAACAGCAGGTTTGGATATCGTTAAAAGACGATTTGTTATAATTATTGGCTATTAAATTATTGTTGAAGGCACGTTATTATGTTACGAAGACATGTGCATTGTAATAAGTAAGAATAAATCACGTAACGATACGTTTTGTTTGCAAATAGCCAGGATCTTAGATCATTGAGTGAAGAGATTATACCTTTATGACCGTCATTAGATGGTTTAATGTTTGTACCACTAAACAATAGTGCGGACATATTGATGAATGTTGTTATTGCAGTTCCATCATCATATTCCTTTGAACACTCCACGTCTACATTTTATGGGTGACATATTTCTTGGTATCGAGTCTAATGCTTAAGTGATATCTGAGTGCATAAGATGAGTTTGAAGACAGACAACTAAGATAAGCCACATCCTGACATAACTGTTCACGCATATCTTTAGATGCAGCTACTTGGTATGGAAATGTCGACTGATGAGAAGTAGATAGAAACGTCAGACAAAATATCGGCATGACGCTAAAGAATTATGACGCGAAAGTTTTTATAATTTTATTCCTACGTAATGATGTCCTTGAATAGTAAATGTGTTACTAGGAATTTACAGTTGATGAAAAACGTTTGGTCATCTACATATTTATTTTGTACGAAAATTGCACTATTTTGAACTTCTACGATGTAACAAATACCATAATACACAGACCAATTTAAAGCATTGTGTCAGTGCAAAGAAAAACTTGCGTAAAATGTAACAATAGTAGAACGTAGTACGCAGTAGATTTAGTGCGATTACGCGATTATTGCATAGCCACGGATATGAAACCTTGCTAACAGAAGGAAAGGAAATATTGCTCAACTAACGGACGGTATTCGGACGTGTGGCTTGGTGGATTTCCTGATTGATATTTATATTATTCCTCCATTTTATATTAAAGGTTTGAGTATTAGGAAATAAACCAGAGACATGGCTCAAAACAAACCTGACTGATATAAAGAAAATAAATATAATTTATACCTAGAACATAAATAATTGTTCGATTTAACGGTTTGATTCGTTGCGGTTTCCACTTATCACTCAAATATGTAGCGAAAGTGCTAGCAGCAGTTGGATTCAAAGAAAACACAAAAGCAATGGAGCGAACCGTGTATCTTAATTATGTAAATGAACACTTGATTCAACAACTCGAGTCCACATACTTAATTTGCGAAATCATTGCATTCTTTGAATAGTTGATGACATAACAGTTAAGGACATTATAGAAAATGTGTAGACCGTTATTAATAATGAAATTCTGGTTCCATGGCATACTGCATCGGAGCGAAAGCCTGTTTGGAACAGGATCGACTCTACAAACGACAAATACAGCTAACTCTTGAATTTTTGTTAGCAGTGAAGGATCTCTTGTTGTCATAATTAAAGGACTATGATGTCCGTAACCACCAATGGATGCATCATTGATTCAGAGTTGTCGATTAGTGTCGAGTATGCAAATGTAGGCCTGCTTTCTTTAGTACCGCGATTACTCACGACTATTGTTTGCAGCCTCCCCTTTTGCCGCTCGAGTGGCAAGCTACTTGGCAAACAGTTCAAGCTCGTCAAGAGCGCTCAACAAGGGTTTCAGTGCGTCGAACAATAGGAATGCTTTTAGCTTAATTCAAATTTAAATCAGAATGCACCACAATATTTTCAAAAAGATATTAAGGTCATGGTGCAATCTAAGCGCATCAAATCATCATAACAATTTACTGAAGCAACGATTTAACATAACATTTGCAAATAATAATATGAAACATAACTCGTAATATATTGACCAAGTTACCGAAGGTTGAAGCCGCAACGCATCGGCTGCTATCTGGGTCGGAACGGATGTAAAGACATAAGGTACCGAGTGAAACCATAGAACTACTATCTATAGAGACTTTGTGGGTCTACGGAAACTTGCATTGACCTGATACTATTTTCATAAAAGAGAAAGGTCGTTAAATCAAAGCAAATATTGGTCAATATGAATGTAGTATTCGATTCTGTGACATATACCTGCACATGCAATTTCAAAGACATGTTAAACAGGTATATCTGGAACGTTGCTCCAATCGCTGTAGCCCAGAGCCTAGAATGTAACGGCAGTCAATATGTACCACAAATGCCTAGAAAATATGAGGACGACATTGCGCAAAAATAATTAAAAACGTGCGTGTCTCACGATCTATTTTTGAATCTTTCAAAACGCATAACTTAAAGGAGCATACTAATTAATAAGTGAAAAATTGGTTTCTAGACAAATAATGAGTATGATCGTAAATCGAAAGATAACTGAGATTGAGAAAATTAAATTGATCTGAAACGAACACGAAACGCGAAGAAACTCAACATTCGTTTTCTATATTACATTGTATCAGCATGCACATGATTTTAGTCAACGTTATAAGTGTCCATAAAATACGAAAGCATTAAAATAATCGTGTCCACTTTACGTTGGAGCATAATTGTATAGCATTGCAATTTCAATCACAGTCTAATACGTCGGACACGACGACGGAGCTAATTAGGTCATTTACTTGCTGCATGATTCTACTATTCTAGTGATGTTCATCGCGATAATATAATAACTAATGACAAAAAGTATTTTAACTAATTGTGGATGTCTTCCACAACGTTTCTCTTATTTATGTGCGGCATCAATGTATGATATCAGGAACGGCGATAAATTATATTTAGTAGAGTTGATAAGGACACTGTGCCCAGAATAGTCATATAACCGGTATCAAACAGCACGTGGAGTATGCCAGTGTTTGGTATACACTTACGGCCAAGTACCAGACCTTCGTCGGCGATGTGTCCTGGGCTGCGGCTCCGGCGCGTGCAGTAATGCTTGCGGGATCAGGCTTTTGGAGGGCTTGCGTCTCGTCAGCCGGTACTCCGGTCTATCCGCTGCACTCTTACATAGTCTCAATGTGGACAACTCACTTTCAGAGCCACACCATAATGAATCCATCGACAACATTGTTTCACGTTAGTTTTAACACATCACAAAATATCAAATACTATTCAAAAGTTTTCTCACGAGCAACCTTGGAATCTGCACTGTTGCAACGGCAATTTAAGACGAGCAATCCAACACGCAGTACTTAAGTTACAGGAGGATCACGATTAAGTTTATTTTTTTGGACGTATTTTCCAAAAGTTTTGACAAATGTTGCAACCAGTGTTGGTTTAGTGAAGCAACATTTAACAAGTTGAATAGGCGCGCGAAATCACGTTGCAAAATTTCGCACACGTGACGCCAATTGGTGGAAAATTGGAAAATCTTAGAGAGGTATATTTTTCCGAATATTGTACGATATATGGAATTTGTTTACGGTGTGTATCGCGCAAAGCGGATCGTAGGTCCGCAAGCCGCTACCGAGTGAGAGCGCGGGAGCCGTGACGGCGTGGTGCGGCCGACTGAATGCGCGAGTGTCGCGAGCGGCAAACCCTCCCGCCACGACCACGAACTCGCCGAATGCTCAAAAATTGCAAACAAAAGATGTCTGGACGCCGTTATCGCAGAGATTGTGGCGACCACAAGGAGGGCATCATTCCTCTTCATGCGAACTTTGTTGTGACTTTAAGAAAATTATAATCTGTTTGCGTTTAGCGCACATGTTACTTGTTATTGTTGTTATTGTGAGCTAAGTAAATAACATAGTGGTTCATGCTTCGAAGATGGTCGTTCAAGTAAAACTGGGCAATATCTCTATACAATAGATTCATCTTTATTTTATATCTATTGCGATTTGGAAGTCTATCGTCTACTAGAAGTAGCATTCATATTAATAAAGAAGTTTTGTGAAGCGCTTGCAGTAAATGATGAGGCCTAATTTCGTAAGGTCATGAATGCCGACGATGCTTTTTTTTAATTGTGGTATATTATGATATTATGGCGGATACTAATTTTGTCCTTCACAATCGTGTTGTCCATGCATGTCACTCGTGATGCATGTATCGCGTGCTTTTAATCACATTAATGGATAGTTTTGGAAGGTCTCTCAATTAATGTTGTTGATGATGATGCTATAATTTTTTCGTACTTGCTTGCATTTAGTAGTGATTTCAGTGATGGCCATTTTAGTTCTTTTTCACCTTTGTGGTATAAATCTACGTAACTACATACTCCATTAGCAATTACCGTTGAGAAACATTTTTTGATAAACTTCCTTAAAATCAATAACAGGGTAATAAGAAGAGTAGCCTATGGAGTTTCTTGCTCGTTCTTCTCCATAGGAATCTACACCTTGGAATGAGCAAATAGCTTCACGTTTAATTTATTTTTTGTTGACGTTCAAAAGTGCCTTTCTGGTCTAATTGAAATAAATGATTTTGACTTTGAAGAAGTTCTTTTATGATCTTTCATCTCGTGCAGTGAGTTGCATCGCATGTGATTAGACACTAATTAACATTCGATTGCAAAACATACCTATTGAAAAATAGTTCTTTATCACATTTTTGTAGTATAAAACACGGACTTGAACAAAGTACCTCTTGCGTTTTGTCTATTAATTAGTGTTTCGTGTATGATGTCTATTTTTTTGCTGAATATGACACGAAACAAGAATGTTGTCTGGTTCTAGCAATCAGATAAAAAGATGAAAGTGTTCAAAATAACAAGGCATGAGGCTTAAATAATTAAGATTCCAAAAATGATATTTTGGACAAAAATGGAAAAATCACTTAAAGAGATATGTTTATTACACGGTACAATCTTGTTATCGGTTGAACGTAAGTAATCCATCATAACTATGAGTCTTCGTGTTTGACCCAATTTTGGTCATGACGGTAAATCTCAAGGAGATAGATCACTAAATGGAAGAGATAGAGGTAATTAGGCAGGGAGCATCTCCGTAGAAACTCTTCAAATCAAATCTCCGTGTATTGGAAAGGGTTAAGTTTTTTCCAGTGAGCTAAGACCCCATCCGATTGTTGCGGAGAACGTAACGGGTAACCGGGGCTCCGGCTCGACGTGCAGGAGAAGGAACGGGGTGGTTTATAGTCAGTAAGAGTCACTCCCTCCCTAGGCTGGAGCAGTCATTCGATGATTTTCCCCCCTTTAAAAAAAGACCCCCATCCGATTGGTGTAGGTTAGGGAAAAAACGTTGGGTTGCTTATGCTATGCTGGTACTACTATACCGATTTTGGATACGGGTTTTAATTTTACAATATTTGAGGAGGAAAAACGCAATAATCAGCCTAAAGTAAACCACTAATGGTTCTAATGGATTAGTTACGAAATATTGATGTAATAGTACCTACAAAAACAAAATACTAGATGAAATTGGTACAGGGCCAAGGCACCTGTGTTTTCCTTCATTCATATTCAGTTACGCCCTAAATAACTGCATCAGATGACACCAATTTAATAACGGGTCCATATCGAAAAGCTGGCTTGTAAATTTTGCTATGATTGGCTAGGCTATTTATCATTATACTGACTATGAGATTTATGTCTGCATTCCTTTTAGATGTCAACAGCTCTGGGGCTCAAGAAAGGATCGAAACAGGTATTCGATTAGATGGAAGGCAGAAGTGGTATATTCTTATCGATCCAGATAAATGATAAGCGAGTGCGGAAAAACCAATGTTACGTGTAGTTACCAGGTTGCGACGAATAATTTAAAGCGCAAATACCTGCAGGGTTTTATACCTAACATAAAGGCTGTTATTTTTAAATGTTATTAGGTGAATCTATATGAAAAATTAATGGGTTGTGCTAACTAAGAACCATAACTTTTTATCTTGTTTGTAGTTGTACCTATGGGTTAAACTGTCAAACACCAAGCGGTCACCGGTGACCGCAACCTATTGTTCTATAATTGTGTCTACAAAACCGGTACTCGACGAGTTAATGATACAACGGATTTATAAAATGCAATTATCAGTCCTAAACGGTACATAAGTTAAGTTAAGGTTAACTGTAAGTGAAACTGGTTATTATTATTAACGGACTTCATTGAAATTGCAGTAGGAAGTGAAAACAATTAAAAAATGAATATTTTTTATACAGCAATAATATAAGTCCGCGAAACATCTGCATGCATAAAGTTTTACGTTGAAAAATATTGTACACTTCTCCAGAATTGGCCAACGATATTATTTTCGAGGAAATATGGAACAATATCATAATGTGGTTACAGTTTTAATTACAAATTTGCAAACAGGTTCGACCCACGCTACGCTAATTCCCAGTAAACAATAGTAAACAATTAGGTGCTACAGTTTATACGGAAGATGATGAATTAGATGTAGTAGTCAATCTCATTCATAATAGCGTATTTTATCGGAATAGATTGAAGATTCACTATTACCGTGAACTTATGATCACAAATCAGATTAAAATGATAGTGGATTCAAAATTGTTTTGGACATAGAATTGTTTAGACCTAAAATTGTTTACACTGATTTGGACATGTAGAAAGGATGGATGAAAGTAGAGTAACGAAAGAAGTATACAGAGCGGATATGAATGGGGCCGTCGGTAGAGGGCGCCCTAGACGGACATATAGTGACCAGATTGGCGATATATTAAAGAAGGGCCAAATTAAAAGTACCCTTAACCGACGAGCATGCATGAAAAGATTGATGACTGTTAATGAAGCGAAAGAGGTATGTAAGAATCGTAGTAATTGACGTTCCTTAGTCTCTGCTTACCCCCATGGGAGACAGGCGTGAAGTTATGTATGTATGTATGGATTCAAAATTCGGGAGCCTCTATCACAACCTTAATTTTATCCTTATATTGAGCCAGCGCGAGCGGTTGGAAATAGAGAATCCTCTTTTGCGCGGGCAGTTATTGTTACTTTGCTGTGAACTCAATCCGGCACAGAATTCGAGTGTGGGTCAAGGAGTCATTGTCCTATAACTGGCACGTTCCTGGTGGGTCAGTCGGCGTGAGTCAGCCTCAAAAAGTTGAACTAGCAGTCGGTCCTTTTGACCGAAACCGTGTTACAGTCGTTGCGTGGGTTTAACGAGGCACATTGGACTCCGCGCCTTAGATTGGATCTCTGATACGGAGGGATCTAGTCTACGATCTATGGACGAGTAGCTTCACAGATTAATTAACCAGTACTTAAGTATAGCACTAAGTTTTTGAAATTTGTGTTATTAATTTAAAAAAACGTTGTCGTCAAATTAGCATTTGTCTTACTTAGCAAGCCCTTTGCAATTAATGATGAATTTATAATTAAAATGTGATCTGGTTTCTGGTCCTTAGAGTCGCCCATATAATAGGTAGGTACATACGTATTTGTCAAGAGTTAATGCTAAGAAAAATATTACTGGAATCGTAAATATTTTAAATTAACATATTAAATAACTAACTACCTTCTAATCTTCAAAATACGTCGAAACAATAATTTCATTAGAAAAACATTGCGCATTAAAATCTTAAACTCGCGATGTCCGGCGTTACCCGATAGATGGCGTTAACATCAAGACTAGTAGTAGAAATATTATATTTTTAAATGTACCGGTACTTCAAGTCATGAAATAAAATTCTAATGTGTTCAAAGGAGCTCCTAATATAAGGGTTTTCCTCTTTAGGGGTTATGCTGCTTTTTTTCTTATTAGGTTTATACATGTTCAATAGGATTTTTAGGGATTTTTATAGTGATACTTGATATCTTTTTATTTTATAATGAAGATGCAAAAGTATAGGATTTACCAATAATTGGTTCACCTTGCATCTTCAGAATTGGCAATGTATATTGAAATTATGTATTGATTATTCTAAAATTTTGAGTCTAAATTAACTGATGGGAATTCCAAATAGACTTGTTATTGAAATTCATTATATTCTTCTTAAAAATTTATGATGTGTTGTTTATTATATTTAATGGGCCGACATTTAACCACTATCTCGTATACATTTGATTTTAAATAATCTGGAATTTCAGACAATTTTATTTGATGTATTTGATAGATGATAAGTGCATAGTATTATCAAATATTAGATACTGCTTATTGTAAGTTATTTACTGTGTAGAATAAGTACTAAAAAAATATGAAGGTTTCCAAGTAAATCGAGATATTTTAAAGAATTTTAGAACTTAGGGGCCAAATATTGTGCTATTTACCAAACATAATATAAGGATAAGGATAATATTGCAATAATGTTTAAATATTAAATAACTAAATATTTTATATTTATACTATTTCATAATATGAAATTTTAATATGAAATTTTAATAGGTACAAAGTAATAAAGGAAAGCTAAAATATCTCTATGAACTAATGTTTATTCATTTGTATTGTGTATAGTTAGTTATAATTGTGTATTCTGTTATAGTTAGCTATAAATATAATTGAAGAGGGATCAACGAACGATACGATTCATAAATCTATCAACACATCTACATAAGTACGTCGTGTACCTGTGATAAAAAAG